AAGTTATATGAATGAGAGAGGGCAAACTTTAAAGAGATGAACATAGGTGGGTATGAGGAAATTAGGAAATGAAGTCTACATATTTTCAGTTCGTTTGGTTTTAAGTTCAAATATAGTTTACTGGGCTCGTATAGCTCATTATTTTTTTATTTCAGATCCAGTGAAGCAAGAACAAGGCCAAGACATATAAGGAAATGAATCCACTACCTATGAGCACTTAATGGAGATAGTTGGTATAACTTGGTCTTAGAAATATTACACACACAACACTATAGAAATTTATATTGTTTCTTCTTATTTGCATCATTATATTTACTCTTATTTACGGGATGATCAGATTTGGTTGTGGTATTTGTAGAGGAAAGGATTTAACATATATATGTGTAATGCACAATAGATAATATGTACATAAGTAATCCTTGTGAATTAAAATTTTATCTTATCAGAAACCTCGGATAATATGCTCTATGTGTTGGATATCTAAGGGGAAGGATGACCCCTCGCCCTTTCGGGATATAGGGTGTTATAATTGGTATCAGAGCAACGTTTTTGGGCTTTCTATGATACAAACTTAAGATTTTCTATATATGTAAAGAAAAACAATAAGTAACTTACATAGGTGTCTAGAATGCAGGTACATAAGAAAAGACAATGAAGAAAGGCAGAGGGTGACCTCGAAGGGGATCCACTCCAGCCCCTCAAGATCCGTCGCCAGCTCCTTAGAGGCCCCCCTCATTCCACTAGGTGCCACTTCTTGCTTTCTAAGGATCACCCCTTTATCAGTCGATGCCCCCTACCACTCACTAGGGGCAACTTGGGCCACCCCCTTATCAGTCAATACCTTTTGTCACCACTAAGACCACCCCTTGAACTAAAGGTGCCACTCCTGGGGCAATCAGGTGCATATTAAATGATTTCAATAGGCTATACCGAGTATTTGAGAGTTTGGCAGTGATGATCAGAGAGAGAAAAATGCGACAAGAGACACAACAGCTTCAGAATCAAGGTACAGGTCAGGATGAGGTTGACACCAATAATATTAAGCAGTATAAGAGACTTAATCCTCCAGTGTTCAGTGGGGGTTATGACCTACTGGTGGTAAAAGACTAGACCAAGGAACTTAAGAAATTATTTAGTGTGATAAAGGTCAATACAAAGCAAAAGGTCTAGCTAGCTATTTTTATGCTGAGAGGACCAGTAGAACGTTGGTGGAACTTAACGAAGGAAGCTCTAGTCCCTCTTGTGACCTGGGAGACCTTTATTGAGGCTTTTAATACTGAATATTTCTCTGATTTCCTCAGACATCATAATGAAGCAAAATTTACAAACCTCCGTCAAGGGAGACTATCAATGGTGGAGTATACAAAAAAATTTATAGAGTTGGGACGTTTTGCACCTAAAATGATGATGAATGAGTTAAAAAAGGCTCGAAGATTCAAGAAAAGATTGAAACCATTAAGTAGTTGTGTTTGCCTTAGCAACATATCAAGCAGTTCTTGAGAAGGTTCAATTGGTAGAGACATTATGTAGGGAGCACACCAAGCATAACAAAGTACTCTTCAGCCATAAGAGACCATCGTCATTACCCAGTCGACTAGATAAATGACAAAAGACAGTTCAGAATCTAGTTACAAATGCCTAGACCTTGGTGAAGAGTTCAAATTGTACACGTTGTGGTATGAACCATGGGGATCGCTCGTGCAATGTTCCTGTCGTGGATGTTACAAGTGTGGCAGTAATCAACACTTTCTACGTGATTGTCCAGAACCTAGAAAGCCCACCAGGCCATTAATTAAAGGCAGAGTATTTACCATTACAGCCCAAGATGTCAAGACAACACCAAATGTCATATAAGGTCCATTTTCTATCTCTAACTATCGTGCTAGAGTTTTAATTGACCCAGGGGCTACTCATTCATTCACTTCACACACATTTGTACTTAGGTTAAAAGTTGAGCCAGTCTCATTAGATTGTGTGTTAATGGTAACACTGCCTACAAGTGGCACGATGAGTACGAATATAATATATAAATCATGTGTGGTAAAAATTGCAGGTCGTATGTTAGAAGTAGACCTGATTTTGTTAAATATTAAGGATTTTGATATAATTTTAGGCATGGATTGGTTGGTCGCCTATTATACTAATGTAGATTGTTTTAATAAGAAGGTTGTATTTAAAATCCCCAACGAAGAACCATTCGCTATGTAATATCAAATATAGAGATATGAATAACATTTAATAAATATCACTTTAACATATAAATGATTGCCAAATGCATGAGTTG